ATGGTGCTGTCGTTTGGTGGCCGGTTCTAAATAAGAACTATAATATCGATAAACTTAACAGAATCTAGAGGACGGCATATATAGGTATCGCAGGAGCTTTTAGGACGACTCCCTCGGACGCTCTAAACGTGATGCCACACCTGCTACCTATCGATCTTCATATCAAAAACATAGTCGGATTCTAGGTACAGTTCCTAACTGTCTGTATAGGATAACATCGGATTATCTGAATCCGTACATAGACTTCGAAAGGAATTTTCAGACTATATTCCCTTCAAGAAATGAGTGGAAAAGGAAAAATTTTGAAGCAAAATACGATATTTCAATATATACAGATGGCTCGAAAATGAACTGTGGGGCAGGAGCAGGTATCTTTGTACCATCTGAAAACATAAATAACTCTTTTACGCTACCTAATGAAATCCTAGCAATTAGAGAAGCCTGTCGGCAAATTGTAAGCCACATCGAGGACAGATGTAGTGTTGCTATTTTTATTGACAGCCAGGCAGCAATCAAAGCCCTTGAATTTTCATATCAAAAACAAAAATAGTAAAGGAATGTAGAGAAGCAATCGACGAGCTAAATCGGTTGGCCGATATCACCCTCATCTGGGTTCCTGGACATAAGAACATCGTGGGAAACGAGAAAGCTGACAGTTTAGCCCGCTCTGGTGCCTCCCTAGATGCATCATTTTGGTGCCAGTTCATATTACCCTGGCGATCATTAAATAAAATACCTTCTTCTACTTTCTGCAACTTGTTAATAACAGATGGAAAGCACTTAGGTCAAGTGCAACTTCCATATTAACATGGCCTACCTATAACAAAAATAAATCCTCGGAACTCATCAAAAGAGATCGCGTGAACACTGCAGAAGTTGTGGAAACCCGTAGGAGAAAGAAACAATAATACATTTTCTCTGAGAATGCCCGGCTTTAGCGTCCAGAAGATATAGGTTCTTAGGAAAATACTTCTGTGATAGTTTATCAGACTACTCAACGATGAAGATGAAAGACCTATCGCTAATTAAGGCACATTTGAAGTTATCTAATGGCCTGGCACTGCAACCAACCAAGCATTTATGTCAATTAAGTTATGTTTTGTATATTATAAGTTATTGAAAATGTATAAAATTAATTTTGTAAATGTAAATACAACCTATATAAAATAAAGAATTCTAATACTAGTTAGTTAGTTACTTCTTTATTAATAATTTAAAAACATAAAATCATTATCCATACTTTATACATTATTTCATAGCTTTAATGACTAATGTCGTCAGCTTTACCTAGCGATTGCCTACTCTTCTAATCCCTCTAATCTTGTAGTGAGTTTGATGTTATAATTAGTATATATTGTTGGTGTGCGTACATAAGTGCGGTTAAAAGATCACATCTATAATTTGTTGCCTATATTTTATCGCTTGATTAAGATACGCGCATAAATTAAGCCACTTCATTCCATTAAGGATACCGTGCAATTCTGTTTGGCTCAAAGTCGTTTTCCCAAAATACTTGTATCTTATTTCTTTTAAAATTGGGCAATTGCGAAAAGTGTTTAACGTTTTCCGTTTCCTGTTTATTACATAGGCTGCAAACAGATAGTGCACCACTTACTTAGGGTAAATAATTGAGTTTGATGTGTTCAGTACGAGATTTGAAAATTGTACGAATATTTTCCACAGTATATTTATCATTAAAATAATTCATTTTCCCCAGATAGTAAGTTAGTTCACTGTATGTTTGTCTAGAGTAGCTTGTTTTGGCCTTAACATATAAACAAATCGGTCTTTATCACTTTGATCCTGTTTTAGGAGAATGCGCTGCTGCCAGTCAATCCAACCATTCATGTCCTCTAAATTCAAATTTTCTTCATGTTCCTCAGCTAAATTTAACCATGCCGCAAAATACGAACTCCTTTTACCTAAAAAGTATGTCGCAAGCCGTTTGGTAAGTCTGCTATCTGTATGTTTCATAACAGCGTTAATATATTGAAAGTGGGATTTTAAAGTGCCGATATGTAGTGTTGATAAGCCAGTTTCCAGGTAGATTGCGTAGTCTGGCGTGTTGACCGGTAGACGAAAAATACGTTTGATAAAATAAGTCAGCAGTTTTTCCACCTCATTATATTTTTCAAAACCCCAAACTTGGGAAGCATAACTCATAATTGAGTTGACAGCAGCTTGGAAAATTTTGTATTTAACTGAAAGAGCTACCATATCATTTCCCAATGCTCTTCTTCATGTGCTGTTTATTGCTAGTTTTGATTCTTTTAGCCTTTTATTAATGTGTGTTTCGAATGTTGCATTATATGTTATCCAAACGCCTAAATACTAATAATAATAATAATAAGAAACGATATTTTCAGATGTCAGATTTCAGATGTCAGTTTGAAATTTTTGGCAGCCAAAATTGCAATCAAAACTTTATGTTCATATTCATTATGATTTAGTTATTGACGATTTTTAATTACCAGAACACGAAGTTTTAAGTTTTTGAACAAAATAACATTATAAAAATATTTTAGGTACAAAAAACGATACACAGTTAAGTAATACTGCAAATTATTCCTCAGGAAACGTTTTACATATCTTTAAAAGACCATTGAAATAAATTACAAGATTTACATAAGTTGTTTTATTTAGAAAAAGTTCTTAATGGAAAAAATCATTTGTCTGATACATAAAATTACAATAGCCGTAATTTTTTCTTTTTGCAGGTTTCCATTAACTATTAAAATAGTAAATAGTTAATAGTTCATTTAAAACAATTTGGATTAAGACACTAATTCAATACTTTAGTAGGGAACACCTGCATAAAAATAAAAATCCGTTTTATTCATAAATGGTTTTTGATTATGTTACTATTACATACAACCGATTTTATTAATAAGAATATATACTTAAAATATATACTTAAAATTTATAACAACATAACATAATTCGAATATTATTATTTTTTTTTAAATTTATTATATAAACACAATCTATAAAAGAACATTCAGTATTACTTATGGATATAAAATAGAATAAAGTGATATGCAGACATGTGCGGGACATTCAGTAGTAAACACCGTTAAAGATTAAATTACTAGTAATAATGAGTAAATAGTTGGCTATAAATGTTTAATTTCAGTGAGTTTACAATTACGATTCACGTGTTTAGGGTTCTACTTGGCAAGTCCGACGTAGAAAATCTTCTTCGTCGACATGGATGATTGATATCTGATAACAGCTCGTGCGCCAGTGAGTTCGGATGATTTGATAGCCTTCTACGGTAGTTTTTGTTGACTGTTTGTATTATTTCAAACACTGATGAAACTGATGAAACGCGCTATAAAGTACTATTTGGGATATACCCTGGAGTAGCCGCACATAAATGAAGTATTTTTGATTAAAATCTCTGTAATATTGCTATATTAGATTTTGCAGCTGTTCCCCAGATCGAGATACCTTAGGTCCTTATTGGTTTCAAAATAACTTCATATAAAAGTACTTTATTGTTCAGTGATAGCTTTGAATTTGGGCAAAATTGAGCTTGTGTTTCGTAAATAAATGGTGTTTCCAGGTGAGACGCTGATCAAGATGAACATCTAGATACTTCACGTGATCGGATTGTGGTAGTACGTTATTATTTTATGTGGGTGGTGGGCAGTAACCATGGCGAAGAATGAATGTGGTTTGTGCAGATTTAGATTCATTAGCTTCTTTAATGCACCATTTCTTTAGCCATACTTAGATGCTATCTAGGTTTGTTTGCAACTGACTAGTAGCGACTATTGAAAGGGTTGGATCTAGCACGCTCCTTTGTGGCACTCCAGCTTTTATCGGAAAGATTTTCGTATTATAGTCTTCTACTTTAACCATGAAATATCGGTCCTTGATATAAAACTTAAGTAACAAATAGAGCTGCGTGGTAGATGAAATTTCAGTTTGTAGAGCAGTTCGGTGTGCCAAACCTTGTCAAATGCTTGCATTATATCGACGCATTGGAAACAAGTGGTGCAAATGGAGCAAAAATGGAACCCTAAAGTGTGGCAATGAGGAGGCGAATACTATTCTCCAATCTATGTATGGAAACAAACTTGAAAACATTAATCTTAACTTATTAAGCATCATAAATGAGCTAGATCAAAACAACCATATGGCAAAAAACTAAAGAACGAATACAGCACATTAACAACAACTACAGATGACGCTCCATCAACATCACGAAATACAGCATCTACATACAATCTTTTTAAGCTTTAAATAACATTTTGGAATGTACACGGTATTGCAAATCTTTTTAATGAAACAAAAATTGCTGACTCGCAGATCCTATCTGTCTATGAAACCTGGTCAACAACACCTTTCAATAGTAGCCTTAGTCCTTGGTGCAACTATGATGCGCTGACAGCCCCAGCAACAAGGGAAAAGTCCACTGGTAGAGCTAGCGGTGGTATTGTATCTCTAGTTAAAAAAATTTAGCAAAAAGTAGCTGTTAAAACAAATGCCTCTAGTCTCGTCCTGAAGCTTTCATTAGTAGCCTGCAGTTCAACATTTACGCGAGATTTTGAGTTCCCGAATTGACGGCCAATACCTTCGATCGATAGATTTGAATTTGTGGTAATTAAAGATAACTTGTTGATTACTCTTTGGGTTACTAGATTCACTTGAGACCCTGAGTCGAGTATGGACGAACGTGTGATGTTCGTGCCATACTCGACTCAGGGTCTCAAGTGAATCTAGTAACCCAAAGAGTAATCAACAAGTTATCTTTAATTACCACAAATTCAAATCTATCGATCGAAGGTATTGGCCGTCAATTCGGGAACTCAAAATCTCGCGTAAATGTTGAACTGCAGGCTACTAATGAAAGCTTCAGGACGAGACTAGAGGCATTTGTATTGCCACAAATAATATCAGCACAACCGTCACGAGACCTAGATATCTCGGATTGGCAGATCCCACAGAATGTAGAATTAGCAGACCCCAGCTTTAACAGATCTGGAAGAATTGACATGCTGATTGGTGCTGAATTCTATAATACTCTACTTCAACCAGAACAATTGATAATAGGAAAGAATTCGCCACTGTTACAAAATTCGGTTCTAGGTTGGTTGGTGGTTGGTAAGACTAAAACTACAACAGATATTAAACCAACATGCGCTATTACTACAGGAGAAGTTGGTGAAATGTCAGAAATGTTAGAACGATTTTGGAAATTAGATAACATTGAGACTGCAGAAAGGGTTTTGACTTTATCTGAGAAATGGTGTGAAAATCACTTTACAAATCATGTAAAGACAAATCACGATGGTCGTTTCATTGTACGCTTACCTTTCCGCGATGATCCCACGACACTTGGTAGATCGCGTGAGATAGCATTCAATCGATTTTGTTCTCTGGAAAGGAAGTTACAAAGGGACCCAAATTTATACAAGGAGTACATTAAGTTCATGGATGACTACGAGTCATTAGGTCACATGGAAAAGGTTTGCCCGAAAGATGTCAAAGGAGCACAATATTTCATTCCTCATCATTGTGTCTTGAAACCTGACAGCACTACAACCAAATTGAGAGTTGTCTTTGATGCATCAGCAAAAACATCAAGCGGTTTAGCACTAAACGATATTTTGCACAAAGGTCCAACAGTGCAAAGTGATCTTTTTTCAATACTGTTGCGTTTTAGAATACACCGGTTTGTATTTACGGCCGATATTGAGAAAATGTACCGGCAAATTCAAGTACATGATGAAGATACAGCACAGCAGCTGATAATCTGGAGAAAAAGTGCTGATGATAGTATACAATATTACCGACTGAAAACGGTTACATATGGAACAAAGTCAGCCCCTTATCTTGCAACAAAATGTCTTCAACACCTTGCGAAACATAATATGACCAACTATCCGCTTGGAGCACCTGCATTACTTAATGATTTTTATGTAGATGACTGTTTAAGCGGAACTAACAGCATCATTACCGCCTTACACACTCAACAACAACTTTCGGAACTGCTCAGTAAATCAGGATTTAAACTGAGAAAATGGTGCTCAAATAATACACGACTACTACAAAACATTCCGATAGAAGACCAAGAAATCAACCTTGATTTAGATGACTCAGCCATAAAGCCAACAAAAACATTAGGCATTATTTGGCTCCCGAAATCAGACGAATTTTGCGGTAAGGCAGAGATGTCATCAGAGCAACCTATCACGAAGCGGATTGTGGCATCGGACTTAGCTCGAATTTTTGATCCTTTGGGAATTTTTGGCCCCATTACTGTAACAGCTAAAATATTCATGCAGGAATTGTGGCAACAAAACTATTCCTGGGATGCGGAACTGTTACCTCAGGCTCAGCTAGAATGGAAGCGTTTTAGAAATGACTTACAAACATTAAATACTGTGAAAGTACCCAGACATATTTTTAATTCGAAGGTTCCCTGTTCGATTCAATTACACGTGTTTACGGATGCATCAGAGAAGGCATATGGAGCAGCTATGTACGTGCGAGCAATATATAATGATAAGACAATAACATCGAGACTATTGTGCGCCAAATCTAGAATAGCACCATTAAAGAAACAGACACTTCCACGACTAGAACTCTGCGCAGCATTGCTGGGAGTCGAATTAGCAGAAAGAGTTAAACAAGATTTAAAGTATCAAAACGTGCCAACCTACTTTTGGTCCGATTCCAAAATTGTTTTGTCATGGATAATATCTTCATCTGCCTCATTGCACACATTCGTAGCAAATCGTATTAGCAAAATTCAAGAGATGTCACATGCTGATCAATGGCATCATGTGGCATCAAAGGATAATCCTGCTGACATCATTTCCAGAGGAATAAAGGTTAAAATGTTCAATTATTCACATATATGGTTTTTTGGTCCACTCTTTCTTCATGGAAGCAACGAATTTTGGCAACAGCCAAACCCAAAGGCATTTAACATCTCAACTGATATCGAAAGACGACAAGGACATACAGTTAACATTATCATTCAAACGACTAGTTCTGATCACATGATAAATCAAATTGATCATCGAAACTCATTCAGATACCTCCAAAGAACAATTGCTTATGTTCGCCGTGTATTTCATCGCACACAATCACCAACAAGAACACTTTCTCCAAAAGAATTACGAGATGCATTAGTCTTCATAATTAAAACTATTCAGGGCTCAGAATTTGCAAAGGAAATCTCTGATTTAAAACAATGTAAAGCAGTCAACAGTTCGAGTCAACTAAATACTTTAGCACCGTTCATTGACGAACAAGGTGTACTTCGTGTTGGAGGAAGGCTTGAAGCATCAACATTGCCATATGATGCTAAACACCCAATGGTAATTCCTTACAATCACTCAATAGTGAAATTGATGTTCAAAATGAAACATGAAGAAAATTCCCATTGTGCTCCACAATTATTGCTAAGCATAATGAGACAAAACTTCTGGCCGATTAAAGGAAAGATTATGGCGCGAAACATTGTTCACAGCTGTGTCATCTGTTCAAAGGCAAAACCAAAACTGATGGACCAACTCATGGGCAACTTACCGACTGATCGAGTTACTCTGACTAAACCATTTTTTACCACAGGAGTTGATTACTGTGGTCCGATATGGATTCATTATAAAATTAGAGGAAAAAGGCCAACAAAGGCATATTTAGCAGTATTCTGCTGTTTCGCGACTAAGGCTGTTCACCTAGAAGTGGTGAGTGACCTGACAACAGAGGCATTCATAGCCGCTATTCAACGTTTTATCAGCAGAAGAGGAAGATGCCAAACAATTTATAGTGACAATGCGACTAACTTTGTTGGGGCGAGAAACCAACTACAAGAGCTCCAGTCTACCATTTATTCAGAAAATGGTAAAGAAAAGATTATTAAGACCAGTAGTAACAAGGGAATTGACTTCAAATTCATTCCACCAAGAGCTCCTCATTTTGGAGGACTCTGGGAAGCTGCCGTCAAGTGTAACGACACACTTTCTGTCGCTGATGATGCTGAGGTATACTCAGCCGTCGTCCAGGGGTCGTTGCAATAGAATTTTTATTTTGGAAGTCAAAGACAATGTGATGTAGTAATTCAATTATTTATTTAGGAGAATTTAAAATAAAATAAGGTTTTACAATCTAATTAATTATAATATAATGCTGGTTTGCTAATTTGATGATTACGATTATTTGGAATAATTGTGCTTCGATGATTGTTCCGATTGTTGTTTCCACGTGCCTGAAATGTTGCTGTCAGACGACACTACTTGTGCTAATCTTGGTGTTTTGTCAGAAGACGTCGTTATCTAAAGATTAGAAGTGTTATGCTGGGTTACAGCCTTGGTTAGCATTAATGTTAGGACGTATTACTACCCTAACTCAAACCTACAGAAAATTCTACTAGTCAAGATGTATCATGACTACCTTGGCTTGATTTACATATAAGACTACATATACAATCTACTTGTCAAGACGTATATACTACCTTGACACAATAGTTCTACTGACTTGTTTCGCAAAGACGTATTACTACCTTTGAGAGTTTCCCAACAAGTGCCCTTGCTTGTACAATGCGCGTTTATTTATACTCAAATGACCGAAGCTTTTCCTGTAGCGCATCGGTACATTTGCCGTTGGTATTTTTGATACTTGTCTTTTGCTGCTGTTGTTCGCCTGGGTGTAATTTCTGTGCTTTGTGTTTTCGTGTGTTCTTAAATTCGCCGTGCTTTGTATTTAGTTCAACCAAAGCTTTCACGCTTTGACATTTCTTGTTTTGTTTACAAACGTGTTTATGCCGGTGTTTGTGATTTATTATTTATTAATAAATTTATTTATTTATAAATATTTTTTTATTATTAAATATTTATATTAAATAAATATTACAAATATTAAAGGTGAGTGTATTATTTATTTGTTTAAATATATTTTATATTACTTGCATTTTCAATGTAATCTCAGGTTTGTTCATTTGGTGCAATTACGTGCATGCGGGGGTGGGTTTATGATAAGTTGTTTACGTTTTATATTTACAATAAAAATTAACCAGTTTTCATTGTAGATATTAACTCCACAGTGATTGTATGTAGGTTGGAAATTAGTTAAAATTTCCATCCTTACATTTCCCTCCTTCTTCGGGAAAGTGAACTATGACGGGACGCGCTACCTGTTAGCATGGTTTCTGTTCCGTTTCTTTGGACTTTTGAATATTTTATAGAATTTGTCTTGGTCTGTAGTATTCTGATCGTAATCCTGTTGAAGTTTACTTCGGCCTTTCACTTGTCGTTGCTGATTTTGCGAACTGGATTGTTCCTGCGGTATAAGACAATATTTTCCGACTTGATTTAATAATCGGTTTACTTTTTTATTCAGATGGGAAGAACCAACTTTATCTAGATGTGATTGCAGTAGTTGTTCTTGTTGAATGGTGCCTTTCGCCAAAACTTTTTGTGTAATTGGTAATAGCTGCTGCGATGATTTACTTATACTTTGTGTTTCTTGAATATTTTGAGCTTCTCTTGCAGTAATTTCTATGATTATATCGTTTTGTTGACCTTGTTGTGGTAGGATGTCTTGTACCTGCTGTCGTGGAATTAGCGAGGTTTCTCTTGGTGTTGATTCATGAGGTACGGATTCTGATGAGGTTCCTACCAATTCTGTCGATGATGTAATCGGATGTTCTTCGTGCACCTGTAGCTCTCGTGATTGTTGTACATCTTGTATTTGCCATTGTACGTTTTCTTGATCTTGCGTAGAATATGTATTGATAATTCGATGTTTACTAAGTCCTTGATTATTTTCTTCGATAGGCGTAACCCGTTGCGATTCTTGCTGTGGTTGTATTTCATACACTTGAACTTGTTCTTGTATAACTCGGGTTGGATAAAATACTTCTGGATTTTCTTTAATCGACATAAGGCGCTGCAATTCTTGTGGTGGAGGTATGGGACATTTACATGGCGTTTGTGAAATTTCTCGTAGTGGTATCGGATGCTGTTCTAGATAATTTCGATCCTGCATGTTTCGCTTTGTTGTACGTAGGTTGGACTGATTCTGTTCCTGTTTGCTCTGCTTTTTTCGTTGGACATGTGACTCGAATTTTAAACTATATGTAACATTCTTCGGTATTTTCCTAGGTTGCGCTTGCATCATAGTATCATGCAATGGAATTGCTTGTTCATCTTCAACTACCAACTGCCTGATACTCGTTTCTTGTCCATGGCTTTGACTTGCTTTGTTCTGCTCTGTTCGAAGTGCTTCGAAGTCACCAACTACTGTTATTAATTCATCTAAAGTTTCGAAATCTCCTCGTCTGACGTACCTTTGGTAATCAGTGCTCATATTGCGATATATACGTTCCAGTTGCGACTCTTGAATAATACAGGCTCGTCGCATTAGAGTTTTGATGTCAATTAAATAATCTCTAAAACTTTCTTTTGATTTTTGAAGACGTACTCGAACCTCGTTCTCTAGTTTATCAATGTATCTGGAGGATATAAAGTACTTTAAAAAATCAACCTTGAAACTTGTCCAGAGCTGCCAACGACAATTGTTGTTGCGATACCATGTCAGCGCCTTATTTTCGAGAAGCAAGGGCATCGTGCGGGGAATTGAGTTTACATCAATACTGTACATGTCCGCTAGTTCTTCTACGTGTTCGATAAAACCCAATGGATCCTTGCCACCGTCATATCTGCAGGACCATTTCTGCACTTGTTCCACTATTTGAAGGTATGAGTTCACTGGAGGATTTATAGAACGTTTGTCCTTCTCTGGTATTTTACTTGATCCCGACAACATTGTTCCTCTTGCAACATTCGTTGATTATATCTCCCTTATCTGGTTCTTAAATTTTCCCTCTCGTTATAGTCTTGACTTCAGTGACTGACCAATTAGGTCCTTGCCGCCATGATTCCTTGATATGATTAGCGCTTTGATATTCCTTGAATTATAAACTATATTCTCCTATTATTGTCTTGACTTCTGAGATTGACCAACCAGGTCCCTGCTCGGGCGCCAATTGTAACGACACACTTTCTGTCGCTGATGATGCTGAGGTATACTCAGCCGTCGTCCAGGGGTCGTTGCAATAGAATTTTTATTTTGGAAGTCAAAGACAATGTGATGTAGTAATTCAATTATTTATTTAGGAGAATTTAAAATAAAATAAGGTTTTACAATCTAATTAATTATAATATAATGCTGGTTTGCTAATTTGATGATTACGATTATTTGGAATAATTGTGCTTCGATGATTGTTCCGATTGTTGTTTCCACGTGCCTGAAATGTTGCTGTCAGACGACACTACTTGTGCTAATCTTGGTGTTTTGTCAGAAGACGTCGTTATCTAAAGATTAGAAGTGTTATGCTGGGTTACAGCCTTGGTTAGCATTAATGTTAGGACGTATTACTACCCTAACTCAAACCTACAGAAAATTCTACTAGTCAAGATGTATCATGACTACCTTGGCTTGATTTACATATAAGACTACATATACAATCTACTTGTCAAGACGTATATACTACCTTGACACTATAGTTCTACTGACTTGTTTCGCAAAGACGTATTACTACCTTTGAGAGTTTCCCAACAAGTGCCCTTGCTTGTACAATGCGCGTTTATTTATACTCAAATGACCGAAGCTTTTCCTGTAGCGCATCGGTACATTTGCCGTTGGTATTTTTGATACTTGTTGTCTTTTGCTGCTGTTGTTCGCCTGGGTGTAATTTCTGTGCTTTGTGTTTTCGTGTGTTCTTAAATTCGCCGTGCTTTGTATTTAGTTCAACCAAAGCTTTCACGCTTTGACATTTCTTGTTTTGTTTACAAACGTGTTTATGCCGGTGTTTGTGATTTATTATTTATTAATAAATTTATTTATTTATAAATATTTTTTTATTATTAAATATTTATATTAAATAAATATTACAAATATTAAAGGTGAGTGTATTATTTATTTGTTTAAATATATTTTATATTACTTGCATTTTCAATGTAATCTCAGGTTTGTTCATTTGGTGCAATTACGTGCATGCGGGGGTGGGTTTATGATAAGTTGTTTACGTTTTATATTTACAATAAAAATTGACCAGTTTTCATTGTAGATATTAACTCCACAGTGATTGTATGTAGGTTGGAAATTAGTTAAAATTTCCATCCTTACACAAGTCAGCTAAACATTTAATGATTAAAGGAATTTTCAACGCTTCATTGACTTATGAAGAATTGACAACAGTCATAACTGAAATAGAAGCCATGTTAAATTCAAGGCCAATAACAAAAATGTCATCCGATCCAAATGATCTAACAGCGCTTACACCAGGACACTTTCTCATAGGCGAACCACCTACCACTAATGTAGATCCTTATCAAAAGGAGAGCCGAATGAGTTTATCATCACGATGGCGTTTAGTTTCTGAACTCAAACAAGAATTCTGGAGAAGATGGTCAAAGGAATATCTCAATGAACTCCAATCAAGGTACAAATGGAAACAACAAAAGGCAAATCTATGCCAAGGTGATTTAGTCATTATTAAAGATGATAATCTACCCATGTACAAATGGCCTCTTGGCAGGGTGCAACAGGTGTATGAAGGAGAAGATGGTTTGGTCCGTGTAGCTGACATAAAAACAGCCAATGGGATTTTTAAACGACCATTACGATCATTGGCCCCCCTA